CACCATGTTGTGAACCATGTGACTCGTGTGATGTCACCACCGTTTTAAAAATTGCCATGTTTCCATTACAAACATAAGCAAAACTATGTGAATATTCTGCTAGTGCAGAAAAAAACAGGATTCTGGTTCCAAGGTTCTGTTGCAGTTTTGTGAAATAATTTCATCACCAAAATAAAAAAGCACTTATTCTAGAACAAAAGCATTCAAAAGCATCTTGTTTCCAATCAGCAAATTTGTTTGTCTTATTCCAATTTGCTTAAATCCTATCAGTCAATGGAAACTGATTGTGTGAATTAACCAAAAAAGGCCCATTTTATTCCCTGGCTGGTCAGATTTCTGTCGCTGCAGCTTTGTCCTTCTCCTGCCCTCCTCTTCCTCTCTTTAGCTCTCTTTCCTCGCCCTCGTTAACTCTCTTTCGTCACTCTCTCTGGCCCCTTTCCCTCTTTATCCATCCCTCTCTCTCTCCCTCCTCCTCGGCGCACGTAATCATCCGGCTCGCTCGTCTCTGGGCTTCGGGCCTTTGCTGCCGCAAAGCATCACATCAAGCCCCGTCTGCACTCGACTGTGGCACCATTGTGCACTTCATACAAAAACAGAGACGCACACGACAAATCCGCCCGAAAACGGAAACGGCGTCGCTTTCCGTACGTCATCGACGCTTGCTGATTTGAAATGAAAAAAAGCCCAGAAGTGTTTGGCAGCCAAGTCAAAGGAGGCAACGTTAATCCAATCGGTCGAGCCTCAGATCCGCACAAGCGATGTGAGGCCGATTGTGTGGAGAAACGGAGGATTAAACGGCGCTTAATTAATTACGTATTGAGTGCTCACTCCAAGAGACTAATGAAACCCTGGCGGTGAACTTTTCTGAGACGCTGTCACAGTCTGATGGGTCCTGGATGCTGCTGTCAGAACACACACACACACACACACACACACACACACACACACACACACACACACACACACACACACACACACACACACACACCAGCGGCAGTGGCTGGGCTATTTTAGCTGAGAAATTACAGCTTAATTATAGAAAAATCTGCGATTTCGTCTCTGCTTTTCAACACAAATTGGGACAAAAGATGCTGTTTCTGCATCTTTTGAAACAGCACCCCCTCAGGCCAACAGCGGAATTACATCAATGACAATAAGGATTTTGATTCTCTTTCAGGTTTTGGAGAAATTTGAACTTAATGACTCTGTTTTTTACTGTTTCTGAAGTTTTACAAAATTATCTGCTGGAAATTGAATTTTCTGTGAACAAGGCAACATTTACCCCCAACGCTGAGAACATGGTGACTGCTGGATCTGTTCAATTTCCATTAAACTTAAAACATTTAAACCATTAAAGCTTCAGCATTGTACTGTTTTTCCAGTGTAATTCCTTTTGAAATGACAGTACAGAAATTTATTTGACGATGTATTTAACTAGAGTCTTTAATAAAGACTTTATTAAGGGGTAACTATCCTTATTTACTGCTTTAAAAGTGGCTGAAATTTCTGTTTTCTTTGCTCTCTCACAGTCAAAGCTGGAAGTAGTGATAAGACGGCTTTCCTGGAAATCCAGACAAATTAAAATACATTTCATGAAAGTGAATAGAAGAGCATTAATTTCATTAAACAGATATAAATAAACAGAGCTAATATATGACTTACTCTCTAGGCTAACTAGTTTGTAATGTCATGAGCTTTTATTTTTTAAAAACAATTACAAATTTAGATTCAAAATTAGTTCTCATGAAGTTTGAACTAACACAATAAGCTCAGTCTAATTAGCTGACAATAGTTGCTAGTTTGGTTCAGACGTTCACACGAATCTTAAAAAAACAGCAAAGTAGAACTTGTTGACCTTTTCAGGTTTTGCAGAGAAAACTGAGACCGGCAGAGCTGGTTCAGGCCTCAAATATTTAAAGAAATGGTCCTTTCTCTTGCATTGCAACCTGCCAGACAACATATTTCAGCTAATGAAGTGTTTCAAAGCAAATAAGTCAAAGAGCAACACGCAACTGAAACATCACGTTGCACAGGAAACAAATTAATCACCAGTTTACTGGTTATTCTTCTTATTATGTTTTAATAAATCATATTTTATCAGATTTAGGACTCCATAAACAATCAGAAGAGATTGAGGAGAGATCAACTTGGCTACAAGCCAGTGGCAATAACAATCTTCAGTGTGGAAGTCATTAGAGAGAAAAAAAGACTCAAAATTTACTATTTTCAGAGCCGTAAAATGTTTAGAGGAAACATAAAACTCTTGGAAAGTTTCTAGAAAAATGCTCTTTTTTTACATGGAGTCATATTGGCTGCTAATTTAGCTGCTATGCTAATAATGCTAATAGAAGATTTCAAGGAAAGCTTAAAATATAAATTTCTTTTAGATATAAATGCTTTATTTTTTTCCCTTTGTAAAAAAAACCTGAAACTAGTGTATTTTTTAATAAATATTTGTTAATATTATATTTATAAGTGTATCAATAGGTGCTTATGTTCAATAAAATTAGTATTTTTTGTAATTTCTTTAGCTCTAATAAGAATATTTTGAAAAATAAAAATAAATTCAGACCTCATAAAATGTTTTTATCATCAATCCCAGCAGGACTGCTCATGAGTTTCTATATTTAGAGTAAATGAATTTAAAAAGCTTAAGGCTGCTATTAATAGCACCCAAATCTGAGAGATTAACAAACTTGGCCAGAAAATCTCTCATCAGTGAATCTAATTATGTAAAATAGAAAACGGCAGCAGATCACTAATTTATTTTTATCATAATCCCTTAATAAATCAATACAAAAGGAGTGAAAACCATGGAACATTAAAAGGTTGTGTGCGGTTTATGTGAAAACCCAGAATGATCTCAGTCGCCTGCACGTTTCCTGTGGTCTGCACCTGTTTTCATTACCTGTCTGTGAGCGTTTCAGCTCAGAAGCTGCTCTTCATGTCCCATTTTAAGCATCAAGGAGCTGAGAGCATCAGCAGAGGAGAATCTGCAGAAAAATTGGATTTTCAGCCCGACTTACTTAAGATCCGAATTGATGTTTCCCACCGATCTTTTTGTTCCAACTTGTCGAATCAGCAGCTGCATGGAGGGGATTTTTCTTTTTTCAACACGCAGCAAGAGAAAATTAAAGATTTGGACAGGTGCTTTTATACCACATCCAATCTTATTCTTTTTTTTTTTTTAAAGGAAATGACAGAAATTTGTTTCAGTTATTACTTCTGTGAGTATTTCTCTTACTCTGTTCTTTGACTTGAGTAACTTTATTATTCAGTGTAGCTGCTTTTACTTGAGTAAAATCGATACTCTGATTAGTAACTTTACAGAACGAAGAACAAACATGTTTTAACTAAAAATGAATCAACATGCCGTTTTGCCAGAAATTTTAAATTGAAGGGAAATTATTCTGCTTGGTTTTATTATGTTGTATGTATGTTATTTACATGAATTATTGTCATTTTGATATTTAAAATTCCAAAATTTCCACATTCATGTGTGTTTTGGTCCATCTGCTGATGTAATTTTTAAACAATAAATGATATTTTGATCCGTTCCTCAGAACTTCAGTCGTTATCGAATACTGAATAATTTCTTGGACTTTTTACTTGAAGTAGAGCCTCTTTTACTGGAGTACAATCTTTGCCTAGCTCCTAAGTAGACAATTAAACTTTTGCTGTTTTGTAGACCTGAATTCAAACTATTGTCAAACAAGATGGCCGCCCTTGGCGCGGTGACATCACAGAACTATGGAAGCCCAGTGAGTACAAGATTTTCCAAAATTAAAACTTCAAACAGCAAAAAAACTGTAAATCAAGACGTTGCTCATCCTCCTGTGACCCTAAAGAAGAACCCGATCCGCTCCGTTTGCTCTCACGCCGACGTTCAGACGCGCCTCGCCGTGCAGGTAACCCGGATCAAACCGCAGAGTCTGAAGCAAACGCCTCGCTCTCCTTTCTTCCCTCTAAGAAATACGGCCTTCCCCACTGTGACAGCTCACAGATGGCGGTGGCAGAGGATCGCAGATGGTCCGATCTGCAGCTCAACCCCCCTGCACACGCAGCCGCCCCCCATCGGCGCCACACAGATGGTTCAGTCCGCCTCCCATGTTTCAAACCAGGGGGCCGGCGCAGAAACCCGGTCAGAGCTTCCTCTCAGGATGGCATTAGCAAATCGCAGGAAAATCAGCCAGGCGGAGTGGACACACCTGCTGGCCACCAGCTAAACACACACCGACTCCAAGGGGGGATTATCTGGAGGAGGGTCGGGGACGCTGGGAAAAATGTCCAAAATTCTGACATTTTATCAGAATTCTGACGGCGTATGGCAGAAGATTAAAGACAAAATTATGAGAAAAAAAGTCTGAATTCAAAGAAAAACTGAATTATGAAATGAGTCTGATTTCAGAGGTCAAATAATTCTCAGATTAAGACAGAATATGAGAGAAAAAAAAGTTTGAATTTGAGGCAATAAAGTCAGAATTTTGGCATTAGCACCAGAATTCTGAGATTAAAGTAAAACTTTGTGAAAAAATTGTCCAAATTTTTAAGTTAAAGACAGAATTCTCAGATGAAAGTTATAATTTGAAGCAGTAAAATGAGAGTTTTGAGAATAACACGGGGATTATGAGATTAAAGTCAAAATTCTGAAATGATTAGAACTCTGAGAAAAATAGTCATTTTCTCAGATTAAAGTCAGAATATGATAAAAAAAATGAGAATTCTGAGAAAAATAGTCATTTTCTCAGGTTAAAGTCAGAATATGAGAATTTTGAGGAAAAAAGTCAAATTTCTGAGATTAAAAATCAAATTCTTAAGATTAAAGTCAGAATTTTGTTTAAAAAAAACATCAGAATTTGGGGGAAAAGTCTAAATTCTGAGATTTAAATTAGAATAGTGAAATTAAAGAAAATTTTCAGAAGAAACAGTAATTATTATTTTCTCAGTGGCCCTAATCCACTGAGATTAGGGCTTCAGTAACCCGGTTCCTGAACACTCACAGATGATGTAGTAATCCTTCCCCTTGAAGAACTCGAGGCCCCACAGGTTGGGGCTGAACTCCTGGAACTTCAGCGTGAACTTCACGTCCTGGTCGGGCTTCACGCAGTTCAGCAGCGGCGTGTCGGCCTTGGTGATGGTGCAGCTCTCCAGCTGCTCCCTGGGAACCATGTACACCTTGTAATACTCCACGCCGTCGATGACCCCGCCGTCCACGCGCGGGCACACAATGTCCAGCTTGTCCCCGATCTGCGGGTACAAAACCACGCCTTGGCCCGGAACAAATCTGGAAGAGAAGGAGGGAAGGTGTTACTGCGGTGGCCAAGGTCGGCCATTTTAGATGAAGGCTGACCATTGTAACTGAAAAACAGGTGATCAATATCAATAGATTATACATCCGAAAAAATTTAGACAATTTCACTGAACTCCAATCCAGAACTAATAATAATAGTAATAATAATAATAATAATAATAATGCTTCACAAGGGCTTAAAAATAAATAACAGCACAATGTGGTGAAAACTGGGGCTAAAACAGAAAAGCTCGCCAGAATTTCAGATATTTAAAACAGAAATCAAATCAATAATTATCGATATGGACCAATATGAAAGGCTCATATCGTGATGCGTCTTTCAGCCACAGCCTGCGTTCACACTGCACGTCTTGATGCTCAATTCCAATTATTTTTATAAAAATTATTTTTTTCCGCCTGGTCGTTCAATCTACGAATGAAATGCGAATGTAATAAGACGGTTTATATCCCAGTGACCCGCACGCGCAAACAAAACAAAAGATGAAAGAAGATAATACAAAAACTGCAACTTTCATAATATCATAATTATGATATTCAGCCACTGTTCACATCCAGTTCGGCTTCTTCGTAAATGTCCAATTAAAAGCAACATTACCGATTTGAAAACTACCAGATGCATTCTCTATTCAGAGCCACTGGTGGGGAAAACAAGCTGGTTTTAACGTTAGGATTTAGAAACTAGGTGAAAAAACTGGAACATTTTTCAACAAGCTAAAGTGGGAAAAGGCATCTGCTGCCCAGAGATCCAACAAACATCAACTTCCTTCTGTTTGAGGCATTAGGAACCAGAACCTTCCTCTGATTGGTTAAAATTAAGAATGAAAAGCTGCTGAGTCAGAGAAAGGCTCAAACAAAGAATCCCGTTTTATAAACAGGAACGTGAAAAGTTTTTTAACAGAAGGAAGTGGAGACTTCTGGGACATTTTTATGTGCCTCCATGTTTGATGCAGCAGATATCAACCCTCCAAATTGGAGTTTTGAAATATAAATTCAGAGCTGAATCTTAATGAGGGTTTTGGTGGAGGCTCTCTGCAGTCTGGAGCGATTTGACAGAAAACATTAAGTCCTTTAGGAGTGGAGAGCAAATTGAATGAGAGTAGATAAAAATGCCAACTTTTTGATGTATAAACCGCTTTTATGGAGATGAAGTTGCAGCAATGAAATTGGTTTAAATCAAAAAGGTTTTTGCAGATATCACAGAAACCTGTGTGAGGCTGTAAGACGAACATTCAGTCGTAAAATCTCAAAACGTCATAAAACCTACAAGAGGCATCGAAACACTGATCGACATTCTTAAAGAAAATAAACATTTAATTAAAAATTTGGGGGTTAAAATAAAAAAAAAAAGCATAAATGTTTTGCAAATGGAGGATGAATAAATTTTCTTCAATTGGATTTTTTGAAGAAAATTGTGTTAAAAATACATTTTTAACCAGATAAGAAAATCAGATGTAAAAACATGTTGCTGGGGGTTTTAAAAAAGCTTTTTTGTTGGATAATAAGATTATGGTTTTGGTTTTGGTTGTTGAATCACACTGAACTGTTAGCTAGCAACCCAAGCTAACTCCAACACATTTGGTCAGCTGCTTTTACCACTGTGTGCACTGTACAATGGCTGCTGGAAAAGAGAAGTGTTTATTTTTTGTTGTTGCTGATTTACTACTTAGAAATGATTTGCTGCAATCTCGTTGGTTGTGCAGGAGGCTCTACTTTTGCTTTTCAAACATATATGATTGTATAATAGTGCATCTGTTTGTAGTCATTTTCACATGCAAGTGTAAACGCTGAGTTAGGCCGCATGGCCAGACATCATGAAACACTAAAATCTCATTACCTGAGAATGAGCTATATTGATTAACCAAACTTAATCAATAGAGAACTAAACTGTTCAAGGTTGGTTGGTTGTGTTTATTCTGAGTCTTTCCCTCCGAATAGCAGGAGCTTCTGTCCCATATATTTGGGACAGAATATTCCATAAAAGTAAAACTGAGTGGAAGCCATGGGAATAAAACAGAAAGTCTATTATTTCAGGCGTAAAATCTTGACTTTGCTGATGGGGAAAAAACAACTTTTAGTATCAAATGGATTCATATAAAAGCTGCCTCTTTTTGGTGATTTTTAGCTCTGATTTCTCACAAGGTTTCTATCAGAAGAATCCAAATGATGGCACCAACCATCAGGGCTCCTGAAACCGCTGCATTTCTTCTCCAAACATCACCTTGTTTGCTTCAGGCAGCTGCGAGTCGCAAACAGCAGCAGCTAACTAGGCCGTGGCGTTTCTCTCTCTTTCTCTCTCTTTCTGTGCCACCCGCAGGGATGCGCTCAGCGGCGGCTCGCTGCATCCAGCGGCAGGCTCAGGAGAAACGGAGGCGAAGGGAGAGAGTGACTCTATGTCTTCGCCTCGCAGCGCCATCTGCCATCGTCCTCTACGAGTCTGAAGGAGACGGAGGGACAGAGGAACGGAGGGACGGTCACTAGAAACTGGCCTCTAGGCTGCTGCTGCTGCTGCTGCTGCTGCTGCTGCTGCTGCCTTTATGTGTGCAACGTCCATTTATGTGTCTGAGTGAAACATCGACTTGCGTCACAGCATGAGGTTCCCGCAGCGGCGTATTGTAAACTGCCAAAAAACTGGGACTGAGATTAATCTCAGACATAATTTCTCAGATTTAAAGGTCAAAAATTTGCCAAAAAACAAAACTCGGAAATTTTGAGATTAGTCTTATAAATTGTCTCGAGAAGAGAAAGAAAACTCTGAGCTCCAAAATTCGACAATTTTGTGGAAAAAACCTTCAAAAGTTTCAAAAGTAAAAAATTAGAGTCTAACATTTTCTAAAAAAATTTCTAGCAAATGTATTAATTTTCCAAATCAGAAATTTCCACTTTTTAAAAAAACATCTGAGCTTAATCTCTGAAACATCTGAGCTTAATCTCTGACCTTTTTCACTTTTGACTCTTATTTTGCTGTTGTACGAGTTTCTTCTCATAATATTTTGATATTCTCGTAAATTTGTGACTTTATCGTCATTTTTTTCAGTAGAAGTTATTATATTATGTATTTATTAATGTATTTATTTATTGGATTTTTATGTTTATGATTAGATTGAAGAAGACGACTCTGTATGCTTTTGCATGAACTAAAAACTAAAAGTGATTTTCTGCACGATCCAGTGAAGTGCTCAGCATTTTCCATGGGAGGTCATGGCCTCTTCTGCCCCCCTCTTAGGGCCGCCTCTGTCAGCAGCCTCAAATCTAGCAAGAAAAGGGATTTTACAACAGATTTTAACAGATACTGAATGGCAAGTGTTGCCCCCTGCCTGTGAGGAGGCAGAGTTCAGGTATGAGGAAGTTTTACGTTTATTTTATCTGAAAATAAAATAACAGCAACAGAATTGGATACTTCAGGATGCTTTCATTTTCTGAATATTTGCAAATTTTTCCAAACCTAAATAACTAATAATGTTCAGAGTCAGTGAGAAGAAGAAGCTCATGCTGCGAGGTTATCTTGGCTGACATTGAGTGCGTTTGGGAATAAGGAATAAAATCCTCTCGCTATGCAGAAATGAGGAGGTGGTGATAGGATGTGAAGCGTCCCGGAGTGGGAAAACCTCCAGGCTGTGTTTGGATGTCTGTGGGATAAATATGAAGTAATTGATGTCTGAAACAAACAGATCTGAGGACTGAAAGTGTAAAAGAAAAACTGGAAGCGGCTGTTAAAACAATCTGAAAATCTCGTTTTGTAGATTCAGAACAAGTTGGAACTCGGAGTCCGCAGAGAGCCGGAAAAACAAAAACTAGGATTTGGCACAAAGGACTGGATAAACTGATCATTAATCCAACTATCATTTCTGAGAGGATTTCTGGCTCTGAAGTTAAAATCTTCTCCTGAAACGGCAGCAAATCTGAAAAACTTCAACTTTTAATCTGATGAGTGCAAGAAATCATTTTAAAAATCACAAAAATGATCAAATACAAAACAACATTTCATTTTGTAATACTCGGTTCATCATTTTATTCATGTGTTCAAGTTTAACCTGTTCATAAGTGAAACTTTATTCAATTTCAATCTACTTTAAAAATAACGTAAAACTACGACTGCAGCTTTCAATTATTCTAATTATTCCGACGATTAATCGATTAATCTGATAAAAAAAATTATTCATTTAGCATATTTCTTATTTAACCGCTTAAGCCCTTATTGTGCAATAAAAATGTAAAACAAATAATTAAGAAAATAAACATTTTAATAAAATGCAATGATAACATTCCCTTTAGCTTGATTACAGTAAAGGATGCATCAGCAGCTAAGAAAATATTTATAAAGTCTATAAAAGTATGAAAAGTTCATATTTTTCTACTTGATTTAACATCAATACAGTGTAGGGATTATCTGCTTATTGTTTGGATTAAGAAATTAATAATTGGACAACAAAATGTGTTTAATAGAAGGTGAAGCTAAAACTTCAACTTTAGGAGTCCTGGGTAGAAAATACTTACAGAAAAAGTATAACTTTGGCGTAATTACTGCTCTAAATAATTTATTCTTTCAGCAAAGTGCCTTTTTTAATCTGCATTACTCAGTTAACGATTAATCTATTACTAAATTAGTTGAGGATTATTTCAACAATTGATTAATCACGATTAATATGATTAATCGTTTCAAATATTTTTCAAAAATAGACCCAAACTTATAAAAATATTCCACTATCATTATTTATTTACCAAAACCAAATGATGCGTTTGATGCAGCAGCCTGTTGGGTCACATTTAAATAGTTTGTGGAGTAATTTGGGTCCTGACCCGACTGAACACAAACCCGCTCCGTCTCCGATGTGAATGAAAACGCCGTGACGCCATTTTAGCTGGTTGTCCAGAAAAACGCTGCAGCTGATCCAAACAGGTGCTTCGGAGGGGGATCGTGTTCCCGCTCTCCTGCCATCTCCACTCGGACTCCCACAACATTTCCACTGCACACA